GCCCCCACGGCCCCTCTGCTGGCACCCAGCAGGCTCGGTGCACGGACGGGCAGCCCGGCGCAGGGGCAGGACTCCTCCAGCCTTCCTGCAGCCTTACCTCCCGCTCCCGCTCGTTCTTGGTGAGGTGCATTTGCTTGAGGATCTGGGAGCGCTGCTCCATCACCAGGGTCTTCTCGTAGGTGTAGGCGGAGATGTCGCTCTCGTGCTGCAGGACGGGGGACGTGAGACACCGCAGAGCCTGGCTGGCAGCTCCCCCTGCTCCCCAGCCTGACCCCTGCATGTTCCCATGGTGCTGCATGTCCCCTGGCTCTGTCCTCGTGGTGCTGCATGCCCTCACAACCCAACATGTCCCCACTGTCCCTGCAGTACTGCATGTCCCCACAGCACTGTGTTCCCCCCATGGTGCTGCATGTCCCCGTGGCAGGGTCTAACTGGCTCTCCTGCATCCCGGACCACAGCACGCGCCACCATCCTGGCCCTCACCATCTCCACCACCTCCACCTCTGCGGTGATGCGCAGGTGGTACAGGAACGTCGTCAGGTCCTTCTTCATCTGGATGCTGTTGTCGTCCATCTGCGCCACCGTGAAGATACGCATCTTGCACTTGCGCCAGACCTGTGAGGGAGGGAGGTGTGGGCACGGTGCGGTGGGACAGCCTGGCCCCAGGTCCCCTGGCCCGCAGCCCACAGCTCCAGAGCTACCTTGTGGTGCCGCAGGAGGAAGGGCAGCAGCATGAGCATCCCCCCGTCATGGACGATCCACCAGACATCGATGTGGCCCTCGGAGAAGCGCTCCTGGTTGCCCGGGAACATGGCGACATTCTTGGCCACCAGCAGGGCCAGGTGTCCAGCGGGGCCAGCCCACGAGCACCGTGTTGTGCTGCAGCCCGCCCAGCCCGCTGGACTGGATGAGGTGAGACATGCCGTCCCGCAGGTTGGAGGAGATCACCACCTGGCAAAAGCCCTTCACCTTCTCTGCTTCCATCAGCCGGCGGATGGACTGGCAGCGGGAGAGAGGGACAGTCAGTGGCAGCAGGACACCGGTCCCAGGAACAGGCAGCTTTGGGCCACGCGGGTGCACCCGGCCAGGCGGGGGGGGCTGGGTGCCGCTTGCCGGGTGGAAGGTGG